TATCAGCCTTAGTGAGATTTCCAGGTCTTGGATCTATAGACAATTTCCAATCTTCAAAATATTTAAAAAAAACTTCAGTCAACCATGTCAGTCTTTCATCGCTTATCAAACAAAATGGCTCAGAAAATGAATTTTGCTTTATAGTTCTATCTACAATATTTTTCACATTGACACAATCAAAAAAATTATTGAACATTTGACAATACTCAGCAGTTCTAAAAGCTTCAGTTGGACCTAATGTCTTCAAAGCAATGCTAACTGATGAACTGAGTTCTTGAGCTGCTAATCTTACATTCATTTTGGAAAATGGGCTTAACTTTATATGTTCTAAGGAAAGCTTCGGGCAAGTGTAAAGGCCACAGTTTAGATCTTCATAAAATAAATCTGATACGTGATTCCACAAAATGTGGTTATCAGTATTCCACATATACCTCCCTTTATCTGAAGCAGAATGAAAAAGGCAGTTTCGAGCAGTTTTTATCAAATCTGGAGGACCAGCTATGAAATATATATATCGATCATCATCAGCAAATTTATTTTTGATGCGATAAGTAAATTTAATATTTTCATTATTATCTTGTATTTCTGTCATATGAAAATGCATAGAAAAAAATTTACGATTACATGAGGCCCCATCACTTGTAGTAGCAATTACTTTTAAATTACATGAAAGCTCTAAAATACTGACAGCTTTCCAAAATAAGGGGAATAACTGAATAGCTTGAATATTTGTTGTAACAAAGTTTGCAAAACTATATTTAAAAGGGTTTACAATACCTCTTACAAGAAAAACAAGAACATGTGTTGCAATTTCATCAGCCTTATTTAGAGTTGCATAGTTAATATTAGTATCACCAAGGTCAACAAATCCTATAAGATCACCAGAATATTTATCCCATACCAAATTTTCTTGAATTTTCATTTCATCTAATAAAAGTGTAACAAACCGTTCTTGATCAGAAAAATCCTTCACCTTTAAACTTAGTTCATTCACAATTTCACAGTTAAAACTTCTTTGTGGTCGTATATATTTTTTGTAGTCTCTTAAACGCCTTTGATTTGGTAAAACGACAAAACCAGAATTAGTTTTTTCATTGAAACGAATTTCCTCATAAGCAGCAGGCGACTTTGAAACAAGACCTAAACAATAGCGAATAATCATTGGATGATAACGAATTCCCTGTTTTAAAGTATTTAAGTATTTTTGTTGTTCATCCCAAAATAACTTCATAAATGGAGTGACTGTACTATCATTTTTTAATATGATTGAAACCAAGTCTTTGTGTAGGTCATCACTGACAAGATGGGATGATTTATTTAATTCCTGTTGCATTTCTTTGATGTTATCTTAAAGCAATTTATTACATATTAATTGTTCGTTAGATTTGTAAAAAACTAACGAACAATTAATAAAATAAACTTTTAATAAAAGTTTAGTAACTATAGTTAGCTATTTTAATAAAATTTAATAGTAAAATTTTAAAAGAATTTCTAGAATGTTTCCAATGATGTCATGCACTAAAACTCCTATGAATTAAACGCGCTTTAATAAATTATTAAGTCTGTATAATGCGCCTGGAAAATCGCGTTTATTTTACATACTCAAAATACCGCAGAAAATGGACTAAAACAACAAGATTTGTTTTTCTTGGTATTCATTTATTAATTAGTTTTACTCAAAAAAAAATTTGCTCAGACGTTTTTTTTTAACAATTTCTTTAATATGAACACAACGTGTCTCGGGACTTGGTAGTCCCTTTAAGCTTATAAAACTATATATGCGTATAATTTTATTTATATGTAATTTTATATATATATATATATATATATATATATATATATATATATATATATATATATATATATATATATATATATATATATATATATATATATATATATATATATATTTGTATAGATTTCGATATATAGAATATATTCGAGGTTAAGTATTTTGATGTAATAATACGAAGTCTATTGTACGTGTTACAGTGCTCAATATTACTGAATAATAGAGCTATATATAATTATATTTAGATGAATAAAAACAACTGATTAGCGGGACTTAAAGTTTCATGCCCGAAGGCAATCATCAGCCGTTAACACAAACAAAAAACGTAAACAAACCGTTACAAAAACGTAAAAATTACTGTAGAATGACATCTGACGTTATAAACAAATCTACGTAAAAAACAAATCAAAAAACAAAAAGCCGTTATAGTTTATTAATAATTATTATAGTTTAATAATAAACTATAACGGCTTTTTGTTTTTTGATTTATTTTTTACGTAGATTTGTTTATAACGTCAGATGTCATTCTACAGTAATTTTTACGTTTTTGTAACGGTTGGTTTACGTTATTTGTTTGTATTAACGGCTGATGATTGCCTTCGGGCATGAAACTTTAAGTCCCGCTAATCAGTTGTTTTTATTCATCTAAATATAATTATATATATATATATATATATATATATATATATATATATATATATATATATATATATATATATATATATATATATATATATATATATATATATATATATATATATATATATATATATATATATATATATATATATATATATATATATATATATATATATATATATATATAATTAAAGTTAAGTAAGTTTATTATATGTAATTTTTAAATATATATAAATTAAACTGAATTATACCAATTATCCATTCCAAATTTAATGTACAAATAATTTTTTTCAAAGTAATGAACCTATATTATTTTTGTTATTGATGGGTGTTTAACGAGACAAATAAAATTAAATGGAGTCGTCAAAGTTCAATAACATTGTTTTTGAGAGGAACTTTAGGTTTAATAAATGGAGATGAACGGGGATGAATGGTGGTAATATGTATGTTAAAACTTTTAACATAAATATTATTACCATTCATTATCAATATTAAAAATACCTTCTAACTTAAAAGGTATTTTTAACATTGAAAAATAAAAAAGCGAATTTTATAAAATGGAAACACTAATATGTATGAAGACCACACGGGTAAAACCACAGATGTCCACTTTTTAAAAATTTCAAGTTTTATATATTTTTATGATATTTTAGTATTAACCTATTTTAATTTAAAAATTCATAACAAAAAAACTATGTTTTAAGGTTCTATGATCATTTAAAAAAAAGGGCAACTTTGAAACAACCACTGTTGTCCAATGTTTACCGCGTAAAAAACAAGTTATTTTTAACTAAACCAATGATAATAAAAGCGTAAGTCACATGACTAACTTTTCGGATGAAGTAAACAACATTACGTTCACAGAAAAACATTTTAAAAAACATTTTGATTTTTTAAAATGTTTTTCTGTGAACGTGAATCGAATTTTTTTTATTAAAAGAGGGGGAGGGGGCGGTGGCTTTATTATCCCATCACACACTTAGTACGTTGTAGTTGTAAATTACAATGTGTTACCATCTACCTTAAAAAAAAATAAGTACTCTAAAAGGTTACAATCTAACTTAATTTACGAGTTGATGAGTTTACAACGGAAAAACAACAGATGTCCAAAATGAGTGTCTTGTTTTCAAAAGAACATTGTGAATAAATAATACTTGTATTTAGCACAAAAACTGCGTTTTTATATTGTATAAGGACTAAAATGTCAGAAAAATGTACTTTTAATTAAATAAATTATTATTAAACAGATATCTAAAGTCACTAAACACTAAATTTCATTTTTCTCGAAATGAGAAAAATGTGACATCTGTGGTTTTACCCGTGTGGTCTTCGTATGGTTTTTTGGTATGTGATGGAATGTACTTTTGAACCAACACCCATCAGCTAAACCATCTTTATTCTCAAATCAGTGTTTTCATTTAAATTATAAAACTAATTATTTGGCATTATTACAGCTAACTTTCAATTGTTTAAAACAACATTAACTTTAAATTTCAATTTATGCTTCGGCGTAAATAGTATGCATTTCTCAACGGTTTTTGTGACGGTATTCGGAACCTCTGATGTTTTAAGCGTTTAAAGCGTTAAGCGTTTAAAGCGTTGCACTTCCATCGATAAACTTCCAAGCACAGACAAAACATAAAAACGGGATTTGTTTTTACACGTGACCTTTAAAAACCAATAGATACGCTATTAGAAAGTTATGACTCTCGGCGGGGTAATTTTAAATTTAAATGAAAATTTTTATATTTTTATTTTTTGTGATAATTAAATTGAAATAGTAACACCTCTTAACTATTAAGGTTTTATCTATCAATTGTCACTAAATCAATACAATAGAAATTTTAAAATAATAAATAAAAACGCAACAACTATCAAGAGATATGTTAAGTCATAATAAGTTCAAAGCTCTTATAAATAATTCCAGTACCAGTTTCAAAATTACGAGCCGATTTTTTATTGGAACAATATACTTTGACAAATTAAACAAACAAATCAGCCAGCACAAATGTAAAAGCTATTATATTTGATAAGAATCGTGTCTATCAGTTGTTTTTTTTTAATGTACCATTCTATTCCAAAAAAGCTAACAGTAAAGTTAACTGTAGATGGGAATTATTTACTGTTTTATTTTGTATTTTTGTGTTAAAATATTCATAATCATTAGTTAACTTTAAAAAACTCAGGAATTAGTATTTGATGATAATAGAATGACCAGGATTGCAATATGTATTCATCAAACTTGTTATGGCTTAATAGATTTTATTGAAATTTGCCTGATTCTACACAAAATCATACCCTTTTTGTCAATTTAAGTCAGATCACCTGGAAAAAGAATATATTTTACTTTATCAAGATTTTTTATACATAAACTTATTTACCTTGTCATTAATTGAATCCACTTATTTAAAAAATGATTCAAACTAAGTTGGAGAAAAATTAAATTGAAATCTCCTGTTTTCTGTCTTTATAGTGTGAGTCTCAATGTCAGCATTTAAATCTTTTCCACCACATCCACTAGAAAATTTTCAAACTTTGATATATTTTCAGATTTTTTTGATAATTTTAGATTTACTAACAAAACCATTGGGCAACTGTGTAACTCGTATAGGAAGCTACTTGGATTGTATGAACAACACCAAAAGTAACACAATATATTATCATCCTTGTCCTTATCTTTTTTTTGAATCAGGTAACTGTTTTTTTCAGTTTATGTCATATTATGTCATATTATTTTTTTTTGTTTTAAAGTTTTTAAATAATATCCTTTTAAATATTTTTTCTGTTCAAGGGTATACAATAATCAATCAATCAAGTTTTTTGACATACATAAGGCCTAAGATAAATAAAGTACAATAAATAAAATAATTAAGTATCTATAAACTTCAACCTAAACAAAAAATATATACATTTTTGCATCAATTTTACATTAATAGAGACAAAGCCTGACAAGAATCTTTGCAAATAGCAAAGAATTATTTTGTTTATAAATAACTGCTATAAGTATAAGCTTCATGGTTTACTTTCAACCATTATCACATCGTTGTAATGTAGCTTCTCTTTCTCTTTTCAATAAATACTATACCGGGCACTGCTCCGAAAAGCTAGCATCTCCTGTGCCATTTACTAAAATTCATTCTTGTGTTGCTCGTCATCCAATTAAGTCTCATCCTTTTTCTGTAACTGTTCCTAAGTGCTTCAAAAACTCTTATTTCTCTAGCTTTTTTCCTTGAACATCAGTTCTTTAGAATTCTCTTCCTTCATCTTGCTTTCCTGATTCATATAATTTGCAATCTTTTAAGTCGTCTGTTAATCGTTATCTTACTCTACAATCTTCATCTTTTCTCTTCCAATAACTTCCAACTCTAGTTAACGGTTGCTTGTAGCCTTGTTTGAAACGAAGATGTTTTAAAAAAAAAATGTAGGTATGTATGTATGTTTGTATGCATTTATGTATGCATGAATGTATCTATACATAAATGCAAGTTTGTGCTCATGTTACATAAACACATATGTTTAGAAATGTATGGAGACATGTATACATTTATAGAGATGTACACATGTATAGATGTTTACATGTATAGAGATTTACACATGCATAGATGTACACATGTATAGAGATGTGACGCGTTTTTTTATTTCCTGTTTTTTCTGTTGTTTTTTGGGAAATAAAATGCAGGGTCCTTTTTTTTTTTCTTTTTCGAAAATATTAAAAAGTTCATTATTTAAGCAACTAAATTAAGCTTAAATGGCAATATCATAAATTTACTGAAATTCTTTTTACTTTGGTATGCTTTAAGGTTAACACGGTTGGAGCAGTCCTGTATAAAAACTTCTTAGATAATTTTATCTTTGTCAATTATATTTTAATTGGTTTTAGTGTTATACATTGATGCAGTAAACATTGTTTATTTGCATTTATTATATTTAATTACATTTAATATTTGATATATATATATATATATATATATATATATATATATATATATATATATATATATATATATATATATATATATATATATATGTATATATATACATATATATATATATATATATATATATATATATATATATATATAATTTCAATTCACTCCCAACTGGGACAACAAGGCTGCAAGCAATCACTAATAAGTTGGGAGTTACTACAAAAAAAAAATAGAGTTATAGAGCAAGGAAGGGGTTGACAGAAGACCAAAAGTTATAGTTTGTCAACAGGAAAACATGATGATGTAAAAAAATTCCAAAGGGTTAAATTGTAGGGAAAGAAACTAGACAAGTAAAAGTTTTTAGAGTATGCAGGGAAAGATACAGTAAACAAATGAGACTTTATATAATAGGACCCACTCAGATATAATGGCTCCAACAACATTTGCAATTGATTTTCGGACCTTCTCTAGAAGAGAAAGAGCATCATCAAAAAAACCTGCCCAAAATTTTTCCCAGATACACCATATAAAGACCATAATTTTGATCATGCTGGTCTTCTACATGACCAAGCTTATGATTCAAATTAATCACAAAAGATTATATATATATATATATTATATATATATATATATATATATATATATATATATATATATATATATATATATATATATATATATTATATATATATATATATATATATATATATATATATATATATATATATATATATATATATATATATATATATATATATATATATATATATATATATTTTTTTTTTTTTTTAAGCGCTAGGTAAATCTCAATATTTTGTAATTTTTTTTTTATATTTGCTCATAATGGTCCAGACTTTTTTTTTAGTTTGTTGTGTCTCCTGTTTTTTTTCATAATTATTGTTTAAATTAAAAAAAGATTTTGCAAAAAAATACGCAAAAAAAAATAGTTTTAACGCGCATTTAACAAAAGAAATAAACTTTCACTTAATGTCAAAAGCGTGAAAACACTTTAGTGCTATTTAAAATTTACTTTTGTTTGCTTTTTTTTGCTTCACTGCAATTTTCAATTGCTAATTTTTCTTAAATAATAAACATTTTAAAAAGTCATAAAAAGATAAAACTGATGACAGTAAATAGTGTTGAATATAATCTAAAAATATTGTTCCAGTTATAATGGAAAGTTTAATAGAAAACAAGCAAGAGTCGCAAAAATTGATAGTTGTAAGTACAAATAGCAATGAGAAACTATTAAAAAATGGTAGAGAAAAGTGAAATAAAAAAATGAAAAAAACACATTTTATTATTGAAGTCAAATCAGCAATACCAGGTAATGAATTTTTTCTGAGTTATTTTTTAGCTTTAAATATTATTTCAATAAGATTTCACGTTGCAAAAAATCAACTTTACTGAATTTTTTAGTTTTTTTTTTAGTTGATCAACTATCAACAGGATTGGATATTTTACAGCACATAGCTTTTAATCAGTCTATGCTTCCTAAAACATCAAAAAAATCTTTTATAATTGCTTGTTCAGTAAAAAAAAAACAGGAAATATGAAAGATGTGTTGAACGACATTGTAAGTTTATTCTTAGCTAAATAAAGGGTTCGTGGGTTAAAGCTGGATTTCCTCTTAATCAGATAACAGTTTGATTCAAAAGTTGAACAAGTTGAACAAAAAATATGTTAATTTAAAAAAAAACATGTACCGGATGTCGTTTTTAGAATTGAAAAAGCAACAAGACTTCAGAAAAGAACTGGGAAAAATCTTTTGGGCAGGAATACCTGACTTACAAAGCTGGATAAAAAAGATAATAGATAGATAGAGAAAGATAAGAAAGAGGACCTAGAATTTATATACGATCAAGAACATGACAGAAAGTTATTTCTAGGGCCAGAAAATAAGAAATACAGGAAGAAGGTAATTTTTCATGACCTTTTTTTTCCTGAATTTAAAAACTACCTTTTGCTACTTTTTTATTATTGAGCTTTATTTTTGCTTTAATACTTTTTACATTATTAAAAATAAACAGAACAAAGACATAAAAAAAATGTTAATACTTGAACTAAACATTCATCAGCAGCCTCCTAGCTTAGCTCCTCTGGTTGACGAATTCTCCTGGTTAATGTTTGAGATGGTTAGAACAGCAAATTGAGGACTGGCTGACCTTGCCACCTCAGTATTGGCACACGCAATCATCGTTTAGATTATTTCTAAAATTTGCAAAAAGTATTGCTTGTGTAAATGACCATGCTGAGAGGGCTATTAGAATGATGCAACAATTTGTTCACCGCTACAGAGATGAGGAAGAAAAACAAAATAGACTTATTACTGTAGACAAAGTTCGTTCAATTCTCAAGGCATCAGACAGAGAATTGTTATCAACCAATAAAATAAATAAGCAAGTATTAAGCAAGAAAAGAATCACAGATGGATTACTTAACATACGCTCCTAAATACAGAAAATAAATTAAAACAAGTTACAAAAAACTAAAAAAGTTTGTATCATTCAATCAACTTTTGTTTTATTCTCAAAAGATTAATTAAAATAAAATAAAATTTCTTTTTGAGACATTGAACAATGTGATTATATATAAGTCAAATAAATGCAGAATTATTATGCATTATTTTGTTAAAAGCACGTTAAAACTTTTTTTTTGCATATTTTTTTGCAAAATTTTTTATTTATTTAAACAACAATTATGAAAAAACCAGTATACACAACTACACAACAAACTAAAAAAAATGTTCAGACCATTATGAGCAATATATAAAAAAAAAATTACAAAATATTGAGATTTACCTAGCGCTCAAAGCCAAATTACTTGGAAACTATTTGGGGCATTTTTCAGGGTATTTTGCCGCTTGAGCACAAGGTAAATGTCAATATTTTTGAATTTTTTTTTTTAATCGTATTTTTTTTATGTTTGCCCCAAATTTGGCTTATTGTGTATTCGCGTTGTGAAATTTTTTTTTTGAACACCCCTAATATATATATATATATATATATATATATATATATATATATATATATATATATATATATATATATATATATATATATATATATATATATATATATATATATATATATATATATATATATATATATATATGTATATATATATATATATATATATATATATATATATATATATATATATATATATATATAGTTGTATGCCAAACATTAAATCAATCGTTAACTTTCATAACCGTCATATTATGAAAAACATCCCCCCAGAATCAGATAAAAGTTGCAATTGTATTACTAAAAGCAAGTGCCCTTTAAATCAACAGTGCCTCGTTAATAACATAGTGTATCAAGCCACTCTATATCCAGGCACTCCAGACGGGATTGAAAAAGTGTATTTTGGAGTAAGTGAAACTGCTTTTAAACTTAGATACGCTAATCATACAAAATCTTTTAACATCGAAAAATATAAAAACGATACTGAGTTGTCTAAGGAAGTATGAAAGTTAAAAGAAAATGGAGTAAACCCGACAATTAAATGGAAAATTTTAAAACGTTGTAGATCTTACAATCCTACAATAAAACGATGCAACTTATGTCTATACAAAAGTATTTCATAATATCGTACACCTATGATAACTTATTAAATAAGAGGAATGAATTAGTATCTAAATGTAGACATAAAAGCAAATTCCTCCTTTCGAATTTCAATACGGGTGATTAAGCAGCCGTTTTTAGTTTTTTCTTATCTTTTTGTTTTTGTTTTTGTTTTGTTTTGACGACGGAGCACACTCCACTGTAACTTTATATTTTAGCGTTTTTTTTTGTTTCTTGTTTTGTATTACATGGCTGATGATTGCCTTTAGGCATGAAACTATTAGTACCATAAAAAGTTGTTTTCTTTATTTTTATAAATTAATATATATATATATATATATATATATATATATATATATATATATATATATATATATATATATATATATATATATATATATATATATATATATATATATATATATATATATATATATTAGGGTGCACTTCACCCTCCTTTAAAAATTCAGAACACAGTTTTTTGTTATGTGCTATGGTTATAATCTAATCTTTTGTGATTAGTTAAAGTCTAATTTAAGTTTAATAAATATGCTTTATCTAAGATGCAATAACTCAGTAAAGGTTCATCTCTGCCACCTTTTAGACCAATTATTTCAACAATCGGGACATATAGTTATAAACTTGCCAAATATCTATCTGATTTATTGTCTCCTTATATGCCTAAGTTTTATTCCACCAGTGACTCTTTTTCTTTTGTTGAGGAATTTAAACAAGTTGATATAACTAACAAATATATAGTTTCCTTTAATGTTAAAAGCTTATTTACTAATATTCCACTTAATGATACTATAAATACAGCTACTGATTTATACTTTAAAGATGAAGTGTGTTAAAAATATTTTTCTAAAACTCAGTACAAAAAATCACAAATCTCAACATCTGGTTCTCATTTCTTATTTAACAGAAAATATTATGATCAATTGGATGGCATTGCCATGGGATCTTCTTTAGCGCCAATTTTAGTTAATATTTTTATTGGGTTTCACGAACAAAAATGGGTTAGTAATCGCCTTCCTCCATACCGATTTTCTATCAATGTTATGTAGATGATATTATCACTTTTTTTAATTCAGATTTTGAAGCTCAGGAATTTTTTACACAACTTAATAAACAACATAAAACTTAAAATTTACTATTGAAAAAGAACAAGATAATCAAATTGCATTTTTAGATGTTCTTATCAATAAGTCTGTTTCGTTTTTCACATCAGTTTATCACAAAAAAACATAAACGGGTCATTTACAAAAATTTTCCTGTTTTGTTCCCAATTTATATAAAATTAGTCTTATAGGTTGTTGATTGATAGAACATATAAAATCAACAACTCATGGCTAGAATTTGATGATTGATTTGAACTGATGTTTTTAAAAACAACCAATATCCACCAAAAATAATTGAAACTGAATTAAATTATTTGTTGATAAAAAGTTAAATCCATATCTTATAAATAGTATTGATAATCCTAACATATAATAAACTTTTTTACTCAAATTTTACTAAATATCAAGTTAATAAAATCATTAAAAAATATTGTAAAGATGTCTTAATTCATTTAAATTTCACTACTAACAAAGTACAAAACAGTTTATGTATAAAAGATCCACTTCCTAAGCTGCTCAAATCCAATGTTGTTTAAAAATTTTCTTGTACTGGATGTATTGCCATTTATATTGGAGAAACCTCCAGACACTTGACAACAAGAACTCATGAGCATCTTACAACTGACAAACAATCTAATGTTTATAAGCATTTAATTTCATCTGTTGATTGTAAAAATCTAAGTAACTATAATTGTTTTAAAATTTTGGGTACCTAGTACCCAGTCTTCTAACAAAAATAAATGGAAGCACTTCATATTAAATGGGAAAACCCATCTTTAAATAAACAAATTGTTCTTTATAATATAAACTTGTTAATCTAGTTTGTTTTGTTTACTTATTATTTTTTATGCTATTTACGGTATCATAATTTGTATTATAATTTGTATTGGTTTGTAACAATTCTATTTGTCTGTTAATATTTCCCTGTAATGTCTTCATTTTAATTTTATATTTATACCCAATGTTATTTTATATTTATACCCAGAGAATATATTTAGATAATAAAATCACTATATATAATATGGGTATATATATGAAGAGCATTTCCGTTTCTGTGGGGAGTTTTTATTTTTCTTGGTTTTAAAAATAGAAGCAGGGACTTAAAGCAATATGCTTGCTGTTATGATTTTCTTAAACAACAATTATAACAAAAATATTTGTATCAAATTTTAGGCTACCTGAATAAATTAGATATATATGTATTTTTTACATTTTTTTTTTTTTTTGTGTGTTAATGTTGAAATAGTTTGAAAAATATGCAATAATTTTTAAAATGCTAGACTCTAACTCATCAGAAATTTATTAAATATAAGAAATTTTTTTCTTAAAAATAACTGCATGAAATTGACAAATTCATAACTTCTGTGTGTGAATTCTGTGCGTGATCATTAATGAACTGCATTTAATTGATTGCTGTGACTCTATGATACATTGGGCAATCATGTAACTTTCTGGAAATCTTTACTTATATCTATAGTACTACTTAAAAAAAAACAAATACTGCTGAAACTTGTAGTTTCCTTGGAATTAAAGTTTGTTTATCTAGTAACTAAAAATTGCATTTTTCTGTTCTGTGTTATTCTGCTTCATACTTAATTTATTCTTTGATAACATTACTAATGTATACCATTTTTTGTTTACAAAGTATTTATATAGATTAGACTTAAATGAGAGTAAATTAGAGATTGCCAGTTTTTTTTTTATGAAAATAATTAATAAAACAATTATGGATTTCCGTGAGCTCTTGGCATATTTTGTGTAATCTATAAGGAAGTAGGCCTAAACTTCCTGATTGAATGCTTTTCTATGGTGCTCTATGACAAGACTAAATTTTTAATTGTTTTCTTTTTCTTTAATTTTTTTTTTTTAATAAAATCTTTTTTGCAATTAATGTCAGAAAGTTATTATAAATTGATTTTCAAATACATATTGAACTTGCGGTAGTGGTGTAGTGGTAGAGCGCTCGCTTCATAAACGAGTGGTTCCGAGTTCGATCCCCACCACGTCCCTGGTAGTACCATGCTCAACTCGTTTCTCCGCGCAGCGGCCTTGTTCGTCAAGGTTCGTGTTTCGGAGTTATAGAGTTGAGAGAGGGTTATAGCCACAAAATAAGTAGCCTCCTCGTCTGTAGTGGCCGTCTCGGCCTTGAGGAGGTGAATTAAAATAAAAAATTAAAATAAAAAAAAAAAACTTAATGTACTCAGTATGCTAAAAGTATGTTCCATCTAAAACATGTAAAATCTATGTAATTACATCTATAACATGTAAAAACTATGTAGTTCCATCTAAAACATGTAAAAACTTTGTAGTTCCATCTAAAACATAACAATCTAAAACTATGTAGCTTAGTATAATGCTCTTAATAATAAACAACTTCTCGTTATTTGTTAAAAAGTGATAAAGAATGTTTTTTTTGTTTAAAAATTTAAAATAACAATAAAGTTTGAACATTTGGCGCAGAATTTAATGTTTCTTTTTACCAAGTGATCAAAAAGCAGAATCTATAAAAATTCCATTAATGATCTTTTTTGATGTAATTACTGTTGTTTTTCTAAATATACCTGGCTTTGGAAAGTCTTCTTTAATTAAGGAGGTTATTCCTCAAAGGTAATTCCACTTTTTTTGTGTGTGTAAGAACTGTTTATTTTAGGTGTAATAACTTTTTTTTGGTTTATTAACTCCTTTTTATGTCTAATTTATATTTTTTTATGTGTAAATTCAGATTTTTTTTTCAGGTGTAATACCTGTTTTGTGTAAAAATGGAACATTTGGAAAAGTTGATTATACTTCTTACTGTTTAAAAATTACCGATGAGGAGAAGAACAGCAGAGAATATTCAGTGTTTTATGAAGCAGGAATAATATCAAAATGGGTATATTGAATTTTCTTTTGCTGTTAAGCTTTCATTAGCTAAAAAAACTAAAAAAAAATTAAGAACCTTTAATCATTTTGATTACCTTTCATGCTTAAATAACAAACATTAGGGGTAGTATAAACAAATATTAGGGGTAGTATAAACAAATATTAGGGGTAGTATAAAAAAATATTAGGGGTAGTATAAACAAATATTAGGGGTAGTATAAACAAATATTAGGGGTAGTATAAACAAATATTAGAGGCAGTATAAACAAATATTAGGGGCAGTATAAACAAATATTAGGGGCAGTATAAACAAATATTAGGGGTAGTATAAACAACAGAATAATGACTTAAAGATGTATTAAAGTAGTATTATAAGTATAAATTCTAATAAAATCAGCAAAACTTTAAAAATTTACAAAAACTAAAGTTATACAATTGACAAAAGGTTTTTTTTTTATTATTATTAATTTATTATTAATTTTTTTTTTTTTATTTTTATTTTAATTCACCTCCTCAAGGCCGAGACGGCCACTACAGACGAGGAGGCTACTTATTTTGTGGCTATAACCCTCTCTCAACTCTATAACTCCGAAACACGAACCTTGACAAACAAGGCCGCTGCGCGGAGAAACGAGTTGAGCGCGGTACTACCAGGGACGTGGTGGGGATCGAACTTGGAACTAGTTTATGAAGCGAGCGCTCTACCACTACACCACTACCGCAATTAATAAATGCATATTAAATTTTTATGGTTTTTAAAATATGCATCCAGTTATTTGTGTTGTTAGTTGAAAAAAAAAGAAAAAGAAAAAAAATATATAGGGGTGTACACTCAAACTTTTGGTTGGTTGCCAGAAGGACTGAAAATAAACAATTCATTAATTTTGGTTGCCCAAAATTTCTTTGAGTTGCCCGTCACTATATTTTATGATACATTTATCAGGTTTATTAAATATTTTGATTATTTTTCATTATAGGACTAAGTGTAGACTAGAAATAATTTGCATAATTAAAAGTAATATTGTAAACTATTGATAGCATTCACTTTTTTACTTGCAGATAAAGCACATTTCCGTATATATGCCATTAGGTTTTTCGCTTATATTGAGCATTTATTTTATCAAATTATGAGCATTTATTTTATCAAATTATGGCCTTTTTTTCAAATTATGGGCGTTTATTTTATCAAATTATGGCTTTTTACAACAACAAAGTATTGACAAATATAAAAAAAACAATTTGCAACTACTTTAAAACCCTTTGTTTTTAATGTGTTGTAATTATTAAGTTCTTATTTGTTACAGGAGCTTAAAAGCTATTGAGATTTCGAAAGTATTGTAAAGTATCTGGTTGTAATTAATTTTAATTTTAAACTGTGCTAAAAATTTTTTTAAGTAATTTAACAAAAATTATTAATAGAATCTAAATTCTGTATTTGAAAAAGATTATATTTCCTTATAATTTATTTCCTCAAACAATCTTATACTTAACATAATCTTTTGAAAAAAAGAACTTTACACAATATGAAATTAATACAAAAAAATACATTTGTGAAAAGAATTCTCTAAAACAAAAACACTTCTCCCTTTTTATAAGAAAAAAAGTTTTAAATTTCACATATAATTATTTATGATAATCTATGATGGAGAGACTTATATCTTATGTAATGAATTAGTTACCAATGAGAAACAAACTTTTACATTCAATGTTTTACTATTTTACATTCCTTCAAAACTGAATTAAAATTTTTAAAATCATATTTAATTTAAAGTCTTTTAAAATTAAGTTTTTTTTATAAAACATTTTCTTTAAAATATTCTCAGTTGCAGTTAAATGCTTTTTTTTAAAACCCAATATTTTCTGAATAAATGTCACATAAGTGATATTAAAAGATAATTTGAAAATTCAAAAAAAATTTTTGCCTAACTGAACACTCTTGACGTTTATATTTTACAAAAACTTTTTTGCCAAAGAAGTTTTTGCCTAAAAATGAAAAATGTGAGCTGCGTAGATAATAAAATAGTATTTTTGTTTAAACGCTAAAACTTTTTATAATATACTTTTTTTATTTTATTAAATAGGTTTAAACATTCATACAATTTTTTCATTTTCTAATTATTAAAAGAAAATTTGGAAACAACTTTTGACACTGAGACTTTAAAATTATAATTTTATTTTTATTTTAGATAATTTTCTTTTTATAGAGTTCTTGAGTTAGAAATAACAAACAAACTAGAACTGCTAATTAAAATCAATTAAAATTGCATCAAAATAGTATTTTTAGTTTCTAAATTTGTTCACAAACAGCACCAGTTACCCTGAATTTCGCTAACAAAATTCAGGGTAACTGGTGCCATTTGTAAACAAATTCAGCAACTAAAATTACTACTTTAAAAATTGTTTATATATATAATATTTACAAATATATATTATAATATAAGTTATATAATATATATATATATATATATATATATATATATATATATATATATATATATATATATATATATATATATATATATATATATATATATGCAAAACTCATTTTATTTTAAAACTTTTTAACATAAAATGAGTTTTGTATTTTCAGCCAAGGTAGGGTTCCCAAAATTTTTTTACGGCCCCTACCTTGGTTGAAAATACGCACACACAAAATTTTAACATCTTCAGGTAATTATTTTTAAATGCGTCACTTGTTTTCCTCACTGTTAGAATCTGAATCAGTAAGCAACATTTAAATTTAGTTTCCAAAATTGGCTAAGAATGAAAAATAAATACTCCAAAAAATAAATAGTTATTCTACAAAAAAATGATACATGGGCAACGGGGGACCATGATAGCTCAAAAAGTGGGGGGCATAGGCATGGTTGTAGAAAACCAAGACAGGCCCGGGGGCAAATTTTTTGCGGGCCCTACCTTGGCTGAAATTATGCATATGTAATGCTGCATTGACTTTAATTTTTTTTTTCTTCTTTTTTCTTACGGGCCCTTAAACATAGCTGGTGTTTGGAACAATATACCCCCTGACCCACTCTCTCTCTATGACCATGGGCATGGAGGTCATGTTGTATTCTTACACCAGTATGTATAATATAATTAAAATAATAATAATAATTAAAAATATATATTTAAATAAATAATAATTGGAATAAAAAAAACAATACCAAAAAACAAAATGTATTAAAAAAAACAAAATATAGTACTGTTTATAATGCTTATAATACATAACACTGCCAGGATATTCCAGTGTGTTATTATTTGTTATTGTCAGTGGCAGTTATTTGTTATAAGTCTGCAAAAATTTTATGATGGTAGTAAATGGTTAAAGAATAAAAGAAACTATTGCATAACTATGGTTTTGAGACTTTAATACTTTAGTTTGCAAAATGAGATAACAATTTACAATCATTTTGAGCAAATTGAAAAGGTTTAAAAACTTTTGAAATTAAAGGTTCATAATATATTAAATTGAACGTGTAGTAGATCAAGTGAAGTAACTATTTAAAAATATAGCATCATTTTTTTTTATCAAAAACTAAACATAACCATTGTAAATTAGATACTGTTTTGAAATGGGAAAAAAAATTTAATTTAAAGTTTGAGTATGAAATTGTGGGAAATGATGTTAAAAGATTATGCTACTTGTTTTGCAATCAATATGAATCATGTATTAAAAACATTAAAAAATTTTCTATTTTGTGGATTCGCCCTGAAACTTCATTGATTAAAAAAGACAGCATAAGAAGTCTTTGCAATAGTAAACAACATAAGGAAGCACACCTCATCGATTATTGGAGTAAATTGGGTGCAAAAAGTTTTAAAGAATATATAAATAAAAACACTGATATTAGAAAATGGCTATGAGAAATGGGTGAAAAAGATTGTGATTCACTTAAGAAGAAGTTCAATGCAGTTTACTACTTGGCAAAAAAAGAATGTCCCTTTTCCGATTTTCCTGATTTGCTTGAGCTACTTAAAAAAAACAGCATTGATCTTGGTAATAGTTACTTAACTAATCTAGCTGCTGATATTTTTACAGATTACATTGGTAAAAATGCTAAAGATTCTTTCAGAGATGATTTTAAACGTGATATCATTAAACTTTAAGTGATGGCAGTTGTGATATTGCTACACTTGAACAGGAATTATTGTATGTGTTGTATTTGTTTGAGGGCAGTCCTTGCGTTAAACTTTTGTTGGTTGAAAGCATTAACAATGGTAATGCCTGTGGTTTTCAAAACTGTCTAGACCAATCTTTTGCAAAAGTTGGTATAATTGACATGACTAAAAAAATCTTAGGGTTAAACGTAGGGGGAGTTAGCAGAAATCTGGGTGCTCATTCAAGTTAAGGAGTATAACTAAAAAAAAAAAAACTCCATGGCTTCAAGTAATACATTGTATTAGACTTTATATAAGAAATATATGAACCATAAAGTAAAACATTCCTTTAGAAAATTTTAATAAAACTAATGCATCATTGCAACACATTTATACTGATACAATGAATTGTTTAACAGCTAGCATGGATTTACATTTCAAAGATATTAAGGTATATCCTTTATTCTTTAATTTAATTTTTCTTTTTTGACATTTTTTTGGCCAATGAACCCTGTGATTGCATTTGGTAATAAAGAAATAGCGTAATAAAGAAGTGGTTTCACATTTTAAAGACCTCCTAAAAAATGGGGTGTGTAAAACTGATGAAACTTTTATTTAGTGGATTGTTTAAAATAAACAAAATCTTGTGATCGTCTTGAATCTCTTTTACGAATACACAAAGAAGGATGCAGCATAGAGAAATTTGACGCAATCCCTATTTTGGGTGCATGGTATAAAGATAAAATAAGAAGACCATCTACTGCTCCTCATGGCTATCCAGAAAAATGAAAAAAATTTTTAGAATTTACATATTTTAGTTTAAAAAACATAATTTATAAACATAACTAAACAATAATCAAAATGAATCCCAAACTTTATTTGAATCTAGAAAATTTACAAAACTTTAGAAGT